TCCCCTGTCACTTTGATAAGTTGGATTTGTCAGTTGGTTTGAATAGCTTACTGTGGTCTTTCATTTAAGAGCAGATACTATTCTGGGTCTCAACTCATCAAGTTCAACATATATTGATGCCCCTGGCAGCTCAGTTGCATCGTCTGCTGGACTGTCAGGAGTAAAGCATAAAGGGATTTTGCCTATCCCTGCTAACCCGTGGATTAAATTGGGGTTGGTTCGCTTTTCAAAATAGAGAATGCAGTTCACCTATAGCACTGTCTCTGGAGCATCATTCCTCAGGACTCCCCAGTGTGAGTTCCCCCCTCTTTTCTACTGGAGCATGGGTGTACTTACCACTCTCAATTTCCAGTCGCTGGAGTGATGGACAGATGTCTGTTCCTCCTGAGTGATGTTTGTACTCTTTATTCCACTCAAGAAGAAGAGGGCAAAGCTGGTTAAGGATGGTTTTCCCAAATGTTGGGTGAGGAGTCAGCCCATTCTACACAGGAGCCTCCTTGTAATTTCAGTTCAGAGATTACACTTTGCTATCTGGTTGTGTGAACATGGCCTTTCTGGTCCAGCCTACATAGGAGCTTCCTTGTAATTCCAGTTCAGAGATTACACTTTGCTCTCTGGTTGTTTGAACATGTCCTTTCTTTTTGGTCATTCTCTTACTTTCCATGATCATGGAAGAGGTTCCTCAACTCCTCATAATTTCACATTTGGAGCATCACATCTATGAGCCATTGGTGTAACTTAGTTTGCTCCACATCCTTCTCATAATTCTGGGAGTAGGAGGTGTTACCTTGCCTCTCAGGTTGAGGAGTTAGGATTTCAGTTTGTAATCCCAGGCTGGATGATCTCTGTTACTTCAGGTTGAGTGAAGTGTGAATTAGCTCCGTAATTCTGAGTTCATTTTGTTGCATTCTGAGCTTCTTTAGGTTGTAGGTTGTCTGGTTGAATGTTGCTTGCTTTCCCTTTGTATTTCCAATGGCTCACATGCAACATTCTGTAACTTTCAGGTTGGATGCCTGGGCCTGTAATTCTGAGTTTGGTTTGTTTCATTTTGTGCTTCTTCATGTTGGAGTAAGGGTTTGTCAATTTAGGTGTTGCTTGCCTTCTCATTGTAATTCCAATGGCTCGACATGGAACATACTGTAAATTTCAGGTTGAGTACCCTTCCTATCATATTTTTGTTATACAATTATATCATATTGTGGTCCCCATGCCATAGCCACTACACCTTGGATCTAGCTGTGATTCCACAGCCCTATAATTCCAACAGCAAGACATGGAACTTTGTATGTGTGGTTGGAGCCTGGACAAATCTCATGATAATGAACAATGTTGATTCTGTAGCTAGTTGGCCTTTACAGCCCATGTTTAGATTTCACTTTATCTGGGTGAAGAGCATACCTGTTCCAGAAGTCGTGCAGATCCCCACTAGTGTGCTTTACTATATATCAATTTTGCTCACCTGTTTTTCTTCGCAGATGCTTTCTGTGTGGATTTTGCCCTCATTGGCCTCTACATCTGGTCTGTGTGGATTTTGCCCTCATTGGCCTCTACATCTGGTCTGTGTGGGATTCTTCCTAAATTGTGAGAGGAGGTGTGTTTCAAAAAGGTATTTCTGATAATACTTGTCTCCTTTCACACCTAACCTAACCTAACCTATCCCACCTTTCCTCCCCACGATAGCAAGTGTTTTGGTCTGATAATCTTGCCAGTCTCGAAAAAGAGAATAAGAAGGAATAATGGGGAGCTTACATATGGATCAGGTATAGAGGGTGCATTGATGTAAGTGGAGAGAGAGTCACAAAATTAAAATCACAAGAGGTGATATAGTGAGGTATAAAGACTGGAGCAAATGAGGTAGAGTTCATACCATTGCATAAACAGGCAAAGAAGATATATTTTTGTCAGGATAAAGCTAAAGTGTGAGAAGAGGTAAGTATTATCAGAAATACATTTTCAGTATAGGAAAATGTAAACATTTATATGGAACAACTAAAGGCACATGACAAATGTCTCATGCAGCTATTAGCAAAGGAAGGTAGCATCTGGACTGAATGTGAAGTGATATGCTAAACAAATTATTTTTGGTATATATTTTTTCTTAATTTTTATTTCTTTTCAGTATGTCATACACAGAAGAAGTTTAGTTGTATAAAATAGACTGGTGAAGTATTAAAATAATACACACATTTATTTAACATATTTTAGTTGATAACGTTTATACTATTTTACAATATTAAATGGTAATTGTAATTTATGATAAGCTTCTCTTTGATCTATGATAATTTTGTCTTTTTAAAAGTGGACAGATTGGAAAAGCTAAAATCGACATTGTGGGTAACAATGTCTGCCAACATTAAAGCATGCTTCTAGTTAAATGCCCCCCCCCCCCCCAGTGGCACAGCGGTATGTCTACGAACTTACAACGCTAGAAACCGGGTTTCAATACCCATGGTGGGCAGAGCACAGATAACCCATTGTGTAGCTTTGTATTTAGCTTCAAACAAACAAACAATCTAGTTAAATATTCAATTCTGTTTATATTTTCAATACTAAAATAAGTAGCTTATTTAATAGAAGTTAACCGGTTCAGTATGTTTTAATATATAGCTTCAGAATGCAAGTTATTGGTTGGGATGTTTTAGATGCAGTATGTTCCACATTTAGTAGTGTTAATATCAGTTACATTTTTGTTCTCTTAACTATTATTGTAAGGCTTATTCAAAAAATAAAGTTTAGAAAAGTAGCCGTGTTGAATAATTCATAAATGATATATTTCAGTATGCATGATAATTCATGCCAGTCTACAGGTAGATATTTATCATTTCTACATTAGTTTGCCTTTTGTGTGAAAATTTTAGGTTGTTAATTGATGGTATGAGCTCAGTATCCTGTTGTATTGCTATTAAAATAAAAAGATATTTAAAAATGTCTTCTTATGTGACCTGAATTAAGTATTACAGTTGTCTCTGTTAGATATGACTGACCTATCTGCCATGACAAAAAGTTGTATCTGACAGGAAGTCATTTTTCAAAGGATCAATAACCATATAACAAACGACCGAGTTCAAGCTGATGAAATGTTTTGTTGTTTTTGGAAGCATTCCAACCACCCATTTGAGGCGGTGAAGTCATCTAGCCTAAGTTTGACTAACAACACAAACTTTTTTTCTTGGATCATCTTTCCAGAGCCACAAATATTCTTAGCACCAGCTTCACAGAACCAATTAAAAACTAGCTTGTTTTATGTACTTTGGTGACTTTTATGTTTGAATTATAACCACTATCTCATAACTCCTTTTTATTTTTAACTTTTATTGGCAACAGTTGTTTGAACTTGTATTTTGCTAACCTGTATTATAGCAG